AAAAATAACACGTTTTGTTTCTGATGAGTTATGGGTGTATTTCATGTTTACATTTTCTTGACACTCCTAGGCCTACGTAAAGAATGTATCCAGCACTACGTAGAAGACATTTTATACAGACAGGATTTTACTCTTCAATGAATTGCTTTAGAGTATGTACACCTCGTATTTACTTGTGTCTATAAATACATTGAGCTTTATTTACGAGATTTATACAAAAGTTCGATCCTACACAGGTTCACAGCTTACGAAAGTCAAAGGAGTTGCCATAGAGATTTTTTTTTTTTTTACATTTTTCAGTCTGCTGAAGCGGAATGGATGAGGAAGAGATGCAAAACATTAACACTACGGCATTCTTAAACCCTAAAACTACGGCAGTCCCTCGCCTCCGATTCAGGAGTTCGAGGGCGAGGAACGCCGCCCTGAGCGCACTAAAGTCCTCCAACTCAGGAAGACGAGGGAGGAAGGTAGTCTCCGGGCGGGGGGAGGTAGTCCTGGGTAGGCGGCAAGTAGTCATTGGAAGGGGGGAGGTAGTCCTGTGTGGGGGGCAGGTAGTCGCTGAGCTGGCTGGCGGTCTTTTCCCGGTTCTGTGCTGACGCAGGGACGGGGATGAAGAAGGACGCCTGCTCAGGGGCGGCCACGGACTCCACCTTGGCGCTACTCTCGGGCGTCTCGTCGGGCGCGGAAAGGCCCTGCGGAAGGAGGAGGGTTGGTGCTGCCTGCTGGGCGAGGGCCTTTGGCTTGGGCTCAAAGGGCGTGGGAGTTTGAATGTGAATGTTGTGAAATATGAGAACATTTCTACCACTGCGAGAAATGAGGATGAGGAGGATAATGGTGATAATGATGCTTCTACTACTACGACTGCTGCTGCTGCTGCTGCTACTGTACAACTGCTGATGATAATGACAGTAATAATAAAAATAATGATATTGATAATAAGGAAGACAATAAAAATAATGACACTAATAATGATAAAATAATATCAATACAATAACAACAATTACACGAATAACGACAAAAAACAACAATAACAACACTAAACCATTAAAACAAAAGCAATGAAACAATGACATCATCAGCTATCCATATACACAGAGACGAACTGGCAAAACTCCTCCGTAACTAAGCACCTGGAAGATGGCAGCGAAGGGGTCCTCCACACGAGCCTTACCGAAACTGAAGGTCTGGTCGCGTCTTCCTTCTGCGGGAGAGCTCGCCTGCTGCTCTTGGCCCTCTGCGGTCTCTTCCACCTCGGGGTCCTGCGGGAGAGGAAGGGCGTCTTGGACGGTTAGGAGAGGGTGTGGGTGTTGGGGGGGGGTTAAAGAGGGGAGAGTGTGGGGAGGAAGATGGGGGATGAAAGAGGGAGAGAGGGAAGGAGGGAAGGGGGTGGGCTGAAGAGGGAAGGAGGGAAGGAGCAGAGTGGGAGATATAGACGGACAGGTGTGTGTAGGAAGGGTATATGAATGGGTACATAGAATGATGAATAAAAAACAAAGGTGGGTGTGTGAGTGAGTGGAAGAGAGTGATACAAAGGGAGGGGGAGGGAGGGAGTGAAGGTGAGTGAGAGAGAAAGATATATATATATATATATATATATATATATATATATATATATATATATATATATATAGAGAGAGAGAGAGAGAGAGAGAGAGAGAGAGAGAGAGAGAAAGAGTGAGAGTGAGAGTGAGAGTGAGAGTGAGAGTGAGAGAGAGAGAGAGACAGACAGACAGAGAGAGAAAGCAGCTCTATATTTTAGTGAGAAAATATATATCTATGGTAATTGCGCCTTTTCATCTATGGGGAACATCAAGCATTAAGCATAAATATAATTTCAGTTTGAGAAAATTATTCAAAAACTTCAAATCAGAGACAAGCCAAACTACAAAAAACAAACAAACAAACAAACAAACTGAAACACCATCAAGTATAACTCCAAGTCTTAAACCATCAAAACCGTACACGGACCACTTAAACTCTCCCCCTCCCCCTCCACCCCACAACCCACCCCCCTTAAAAAAAGAAGACAACCCCCTCCCCCCCACACACCCCTACCCCTAACCCCCCCCCCCAAAAAAAAAAAAAAAAAAATCCAAAAAATCTCGCCTTGTAAATCTGCTCATTCAAGTGGTAGTAGTTGGGCGCCGCGGAACAGTCGACGCTGAACCACCAGTCGCAGGCGAAGATCTCCTGGTTGAAGATCGTACCGTTGGGGCAGAGGTACGAGGTCATGTCGTGGGCTTCGCAGACGTGGTACAGCTGCGGCGGGAACGGTGAGAGGAATGAGGTAGAGGGTCATGGTGATGATGATGATGATGATGATGATGGTGATGATGATGATGATGATGATGGTGATGATGATGATGATGATGATGATGGTGATGATGATGATGATGGTCACGATAATAAGGATGATAAAAGATGATAATGATAACTATGATAATGATGATGGAAATGAGAACTATGACAAGGATGATGGTAATGAGAACCATGATAAGGATGATGATCACAATAATAATGATGATAATGATAATGATCATGATAATAATAATGGTGAAAATGATGATAATGATGATGATCACGATATTAAGGATGATGATAAAGATAACTATAATAATGATGATCACAGTAATAATGATCTATGATGATGATGATAGTAATAATGATAATAATAACTATGATAATGATGATGATAATAATGATGATAATGATAACCATGATAATGATCTCGATAATGATGAAAATGATGATATTAATGGTAATAATCACGATGACAATTATAAGATAATAATGATACAATTATAATAATGATACAATGACAAAATAACATATTGATAAAATCGAAAGAATGAATGGATAAGCAATAGATAAATATAATAAATAAATAGATAAATACAATAAATAAATACAATCCTGTTCTTCTCTCCCAAACTTTCAAACTGGTTTATTTAATCCCATGACCTTGAAATAGAGTAAAAGAGTAAGTGACCTTCCTCCTTGAATCTCTATGACCTTATCACACCTTATCTAAAAAAGGCTTCTCACCTTCCCTGAATATTTTACGCCAAAAACAGCTGGTCATGAATAATAATAAAACTAGCACTAAAAGCTATATATTCCAAAAATAGCTGGTCATGGATAATAATAACATTAGCATTAAAAGCTATATCTTCTTCCACTTAGATGTATATATTTGTACATTTATTTCATCTATTTAAAATTCCCTACTTTCCTGATAGATACTAAAAGCTACTTTCTTGCACCCAGATGTATATATTCATTTATACATTTATAAAGCTATTTATACATTTGTTAAGCTAATTTCTTACACTTACATGTATATATTCACATACATTAATAGACACCATAAGCTAATTTCTTGCACTTGGATGTAATTATTCATTTATATATTTATTAAGTTATTTATACATTTATTAAGCTAATTCCTTGCACTTACACGTATATATTCACTTACACATTAATCTAATCTAATATTCAAAAACTATACATTCATTAATCTAATTTCTTGCACTCACACGTATATATTCACTTATACATTAATCTAATCTAAAAAAAAAAAAAAAAAAAAAAAAATAAGAACTCCCCGCTTACCTGACAGTCATACTGAACATCAGCATAATATCCGGGCAACTTCCCTGCGCATGAGAATGAGATCTCTGTCGGGATGTCAGTCATCGTCGGCATGTCCACGGGCTGGAAGGACAACGGGAATCGGAAGGTGTTTTCACTTCACTGCACTCTGCACTGTCTTTCTCATTATCGGTGTTGTAGATATGCATATATGTATGTATATGTATGTATATATATATATATATATATATATATATATATATATATATATACATATATATATATATATGTATATATGTGTGTGTGTGTGTGTGTGTGTGTGTGTGTGTGTGTGTGTGTGTGTGTGTGTGTGTGTGTGTGTGTGTGTGTGTGTGTGTGTGTGTGTGTGTGTGGTGTGTGTGTGTGTGTGTGTGTGCGAGTGTGTGTGTGTGTATTTTGTGTGTGTATTATATAGATAGATATGTAGATAGATCAATAGAGAGAGAGAGAGAGAGAGAGAGAGAGAGAGAGAGAGAGAGAGAGAGAGAGAGAGAGAGAGAGAGAGAGAGTAAATTAAAAGATCGCACTAAAGAATCCAGATAACAGATGGCGTTGCTGTCGCGTATCTCACCGTCCTGCTGAATTCCGATCTGGCGAGTCCCTCGAAGAGTTCGTTGATCCTCGCATTGGCGATCTTGCTCTCCTCGCCCGTCGCCAGCTCGAAGTCGTGGTGGTGGTCGTGGTGGTCGTGGTGGTCCAAGCCGTTCAGAAGAGCGGCGTGCGTCTAGTGTGAGAAAAATAAAAATGAATTATATGTCATTAATGAATTTTGATAATGGTTCAATTATTTATTTTTGAGTTCTGAGGTTGCTGAGTGGAATGGTAATGCAAGTACGGAATTGGTAATGATCATTAGGACAGGAATGGCAATGCAACTTACAATACTCTTAATTGAAATGATCCCGGTGTTGAAAGATATGATATTAGCATCATATGTAAGTATCATTATCAAAAGGGTCATCGTGTTCATTAACAGTAAAAGATGTCTTATTCATAATTCCGAATGCTAAGCTTATATCATGCACATGCACTCAAACACAAACTCAAACAAACACACTGTAATCATTAATATGGATAACAAATATAACTTCCACTACTCTTTCATAAAATCATCCAAGTCACAACGTACACACACACACACACAACACACACACACACAACACACACACACACACACAACACACACACACACACACACACACACACACACACACACACACACACACACACACACACACACACACACACACACACACACACACACACACACACACACACACACACACACACACACACACACACACACAAACAAACAATAGTCACCCCTTCATTCATTCTAAAATCCATTCTCTCTCTATTCCTTCCACTGACTTACTGTGGCCACCAAGACGGCGAGGGTGAGCGCCAGGGACCTCATCGTTGTGGTTTTCTGGAAGAGAAGGACTGGTTATTGTCTTTTGATTTTGGAAAAGGATTAGGGATTGGGAGGGGGGGGCGGCAGCTTGAGGGGAGGACTGGGGGTGGAGGAGGTTTGAGGGGGAAGGAGAGGAGGAGCAGGAGGAGGACAATGATTGAAGGGAAGGCATTCACTCGTATGTGTATGTATGTGTGTGTGTGTGTGTGTGTGTGTGTGTGTGTGTGTGTGTGTGTGTGTGTGTGTGTGTGTGTGTGTGTATGTATGTGTGTGTGTATCATATTGTGTGTATACATAATTATGTGTATATGTTTGCTTGTGTGTATGCATGATTTTGCATGTGAGTGTATATTTGTGTATGCATGATTGTGCAGTGTGTGTGTCATTATACGTATGTCTGTGTGTGTGGGTTTGTATTTTCTTAGTAGTTCTTGTAGAGGACTGAGAGTGAATGAGAGTAATAGAGACAGACAGAGACAGAGACAGAGAGACAAACAAGTGAGGCGGGAAAGACGCGAAGAAACTTGCCTTCCATTTGCCGAAAAGAAGTTGACCTTGGTTGTTGTTGTTGGGGGGAGACTTGGGGGGGGGGGGTCGGAGGAAAGACTGGCCCCCTCTCCTCCCCCCTCCCCCCTCCCGATTCCTGTGCACGTAGCATCCCTAATAATAAAACGCACACGTGGTCGCTACGCTTCTCTTCCCACGCAAGCAAGACGAGTGATAAAAACACTGATTACGCAAAACCGAAAGAATTCCGTCAAAAATACAAATTTAAAAAGAGACAAAAGAAAACGGCAATAAATGGTGGAAAATAAGAAAAAAGAAGTAAGAATGTAATATTTTTTTTTTCATTGAGACATAACCCCCCCCTTTCCTCCCCCCCCCCCCCCTTCACCCATGTGGCCACAGCGAAGGACATCGGCGTGTCCTAATGACAGGTGACCCTCTATGGACCCTAAAGAAGAAGGAAGGATGTAGGACCTCCCCTCTCCCCCCCCTCCTACATAACCTTGTCCTCAGACTTGTCCTAATGGTCCTTGTGTCTGGTTAATTAGCGTAATACTGAGCCTTATAAATTCAAGAGACACTTCAATAGATAGCGAAGGTATATGTGGTAGCAGATGATAAACCGTTTTAATTATGATATAAATGATAATGAAAAATCAAACTAACTGATCATGGAACAAGAAAAATAAAAAATAAGTGAATTAGTAAATGCGCATGGACCGAACGACGTAGAAGAATAAGAAAAAAGAAGAGAAAAAAATTGCATAATCCTAGATAAAACGTCAACAATGGAGACGAGAATCATGGTGCATTGTCACTATGGTCAACAAAGTATATACATCAGCCTCACGCATCTCGTGTAGAAAAAACACACGAAAAAAAACAGGAGATTGGGTTTGAACAGGGAGAGGAAGCGCAAATATGGGTGCATGGGAAATGAGAAAATAGACAAAAGAAAAGACAGAAGTTCAAGAAAGTGGTTGATGATACTGAACACAAAGTGAATGTTGATGATAACCGAGAAGAAACGAGAAAGAGAGAGACAGATAGAGAAAGAGAGACAGACAGACAGACAAAGAAAGAGAGAGAGACAGACAGACAGGCAGAGATGAGAGAGAGAGAGAGAGAGAGAAAGAGAGAAAGAAGAAAGAGAAGAGAGAGTGAGAGAGAGAGAGAGAGAGAGAGAGAGAGAGAGAGAGACAGAGAGAGAGAGAGAGAAGAGAGACAGACAGAGAGAGAGAGAACATCAACATGCCCAAGACAAGGCCAGGGGTCGGTGGGCAGGATAATGTCCTTGATATGAAACTGATGCAGGAGACGCTTGTTCCAAACACTTTCGTTTTCGATTAAAGTCACAATAAATAACTTATCTCTGAATGATAAGAGTTTTTTTTTCATATAAAATTTTCCTTAGATTATAGTATTCCACGTACATTCTTATATATAAATGTATATACGTACAAATATACATACATACATGAATAAATCTGTTGTATATATTTTACGTGTGTGTGTGTGTGTGTGTGTGTTATACACATATATATATGTATATATATATACATATATATATAACTGTGTATATATTATTATATATATAATATTTTTTTCATTTTTCATTCTCATATCACCTTTCAGCCTAAAATGATACCTCTTTTCTTTTGTACCATCAATTTCTCTCCTTTTCTTGGTTTTCCTTTTATGATAATTCTATTATACTTTCCCACTAAGCCTTTTTTACCTTGATTTTATTTTATTCATTTTTTTTTTTGATGAAGGCGATAGGTATTTTTCAATTAATTTTCTCTTTGTTATCGCTTTTCAATTAATCATTGGATTTATTTCCTTTCTTGACTGCTTTACTTTCTTGTAATAAGCTTAATTTTTAACGATTATTATACTAATAGATACTAATGATAATAACGATAATGCTACCTCTTTTACCACTACTT